TGCTTGACACCCACTGTACAGCAGAGCGGTACCCACTTGTCCACCTTTTTTCATATTGTATTAGGTGCCTACTATATTAAAGACTTATTAATTTATCAATATTATTATATTAAGTATAAATATATTACGTGTTTTGTTATTAATTAATTTACTTATTCATATTATTGTAAGTACAATAGGTACTATATTTTTAAGTATATTTGCGCGTAGCCCCCTTATACCTAGGTAGGTATATATCATAATTCATAATATTAAATATTTAAATAAATGCAACTGCCAACTGACGATAATGACATTTTTGGCCCCACACATTTACTCTGCCCTGGGCCCCGCAAATCGTCCGGACGTCTGATGGCGTTGGAAAATACCCAAATGGTAATATTATTGTTAAAGAATAGTTGGTAGCAATGCGTAATAAAATATAATATTCATTACGAAGTTGGTAACAATTGTCGCTAAATCGTTGGTCGACTATCGAGTATATGAGTTATCAGCCTATGGTTTAATATGTGTATAATAACAGGTGAGATTAAATATAGTTATAATGAGTTACAGTATAAATCAAGAAAACAAAATAATAATATAATAATACAATAATTTGAGTGATAGAAACATTAATGTGACTACAGATAATATCTATTAATATAATAACAAAAAGACTCAATAGAGTGAATATTAAAAAAATCAATTTGCGTTTCATTAGTTAATCTAGTGGTTCTATTCAAAGGTGAATTCATTATATAGTTTGTTCTGTGCAAGTGATTGTGAAAGGTGTAAGTATTCCTAATTTGTCGTTGAGGTACATAAAAATTTATAAAACTAAGCAGTTCTGGACAATCTATGTAGCCATTTACCAATTTAAATAAAAATTTCAAATCAAGTATGTTCCTTCGTACGGCAAGGCTACTCATATTTAAAGTACTTAATAAAGGATTATATGGAGAATGCGGAAGTCGTGGAATATTACATTTGTAAGATAAAAAACGAAGGAAACGGTTTTGGATTGATTCGAGGCATTGAGTATGAATATTTGCAGAAGGCGACCAGATTATAGAATTATATTCTAGAGTTGAGCGTACTAAAGAAAAATATAGTGTTTTTAACGTTATTGGATTTGAAAAATCCTTACATGTTCTAGTAATAAATCCAAGAATGGATTTTTTAGAAATATTTAAATAATGCCTATTAAAGGATAATGTTGTGTCAAACGTAACGCCTAAATCGAAATTTAAAACACCCGATGAAGTAAAGTATTATTTAAATAATAGTTGAGGAGAAGCGGAGAACGTGTTCTAGAAAAGGACATTACTTTACATTTATCAGTGTTCAATAATAAATTGTTTTGTTTGCACCAGATTGATAAGGTATTTAAGTCATCTTGCAAGAGGATAGAATCCGAGGAGGACTTTACTAACCGAAATATTTTCATATCATCTGCGAATAGAAGTTTACGTGAGTTTGAAAAATGTAAATCATTTATAAACAAAATAAATAACAAGGGAGCTAAATGTGAACCTTGGGGAACTCCTGATAGAACATCAAACGGATCTGACATAAAATTTTTTACTTTGACTATCTGCTTTCTGTTTGTGATATAAGAAATCAACCAAGATAAAAATGGGTCACGGATACCAATAGAATGAAGCTTATTCGATAGGAAAATATGGTTAATTTTATCAAAAGCCTTAGAAAAATCTGTATAGATTACATCAACTTGAAAACCTGAGGCAAAAGCATCCAATATAAATTTCTGAAAAATTAATTGGTTAGTGGTCGTTGATCTACCTCTTAAAAATCCGTTTTGATCATTATTAACTATTGGGGCGAGTATAGCATAAATTTGATTATAAACTATAGATTCAAATATCTTGGGTATAATAGAGATCAGGGATATTGGTCAAAGTTCATTAAGTTAAATAAATCTTTTCCTTTTTTTATCGGTGTTACAAAGCTGATTTTCCAATCAGAAGGAAAACAACCCGTTGAAAGGGAAAAATTAAATAGATACAATAATGGAGAGGCAAGAACAAATTTACATTTAGTGAAGAAAAGATTTGATATCATATCAGGACCAGGATTAGTTTTGTTAGTAATCAAATCAAATTCATTTAAAATATCAGTAAGACTAATCTGGCATGAGTGTAAATTAACTTCAGCCGAATTGTTTGAGGAAGGAGACGACGCATGATATGTTGAAGATGGGGTACTTAAATTATTATTATAAACACTGGAAAAATAATGGGCAAAACCACATACAATATCTTTACCCCCAGTTAATTGACAATTATTATAAGACATAGTGTTTTGAATGGTTGAACATGTTTTTTTATTGTTAAAGAATTTCCAAAAATATTTAGGATTAGTAATTAACGAATTTTGAGTTTTGATAATATAATTATTATAATCGAGTTTGGATTGGGATTTACATTTTGCACGAAGTTTAGAGAAGGTGTTATAATTTATTTGTGTAGGAGTTTGCTTAAAAAGCATATGAGCAATTTTTTTTTGATATGTGAATTCCATCAATATTGAACTAAACCATATAGGATGTTTATACGTAAAATATGTTTTTTTTTTACAATAACTATCAATAATGTTAAAAACGTTATAATAGAAAATTATAATTGCTTCATTTATATTTAATCCTTTAAACAAGAGATCCCAATTAATATTAGCTAACGATGCCCTTATAACATTATAATCACAATTAATATAATCATAAACAGTGTAATTAAAGTCTAATGGTTTAATAATTTCACAGATAGGAAATTTAATTAGCAAAGCTGGGTGATACAAATAATCAATTGGAACCAAAGTAGATATTTTACATGAAACAGTAATATACGAAGAGTTTGATAAAATTAAATCTACCTATTAATCGACCTGCAGCATCGCGACTGGATTTCGGGCCCGTTTATTTTTATTATTTATGTTGGTATTATGATATAATGCAGTAAATTATTATTATTACTTGATATAAATATTAAACAACAAAAAACTACTTAAAACGTTTTAATATAAAATACATGTACTGTACTTACATATACTAATTATAATCATAACTTCAATACAATGTAATTATTGATATATGTTTATTTAACCATCGGAGACAAACATTTAACGTAAGAATTATGATAAGTTAAGCTAATTTTGACAGGAGATTTTAATATTAAAACATTTCTCTATGAAAAAATTGGTTTGCATAGCATTAACTCTTTGAGGGGCGAAAATTTCCTTTGAAAAAAAAACCCATGTGGGCAATATGTGTCAAAATTAATTTTTTTTATTTTCATTTTTTTTAAATGCTTTTATTCTGGTATTTAACTAAAATATTGTTGACTACATTTTTTTTGAGTTAGCAGTTTTTCCAGAAAAATTTGGGAAAAAGTGGTCCTTATAGCGACCACCACCAAAATAAAAGGCTTTTTTGAATAAAATGTTATCAAATCCAAACTTATACTTATTAACTTCAATAAAACATTATATGAGTACCATAAGAAGGATATAAGAAAATATTTGAATCATCCAACTAACAAAGAACTAGAATATTGTATACCATTTAATAATTGATATATTTATTATATATATTATTAATAATAAAAAAACAAAATAATATTATACATATAAACTCCAGATATTTCTGAAAAACAATTACAAAACCTTTTTTTAATAATAATACTAAAAACACAATATAAAATTATTTAAGCAATATTTATAACTCAAAATAAAATAAATGTATACCCTTTTGAAATAGATAACTCATAAAAAAAAATTTGAATTTAATACAAATTATTTTGTATGATAATCTTGAAAGCAAGTTTTTTCTTTCTTGATACACAAAGGAACTTTACAAGTAGAACAAATGAAGGGTCCGGTGCAATAACAAGGTATCTCCACTTTTTGAAATTGTTCAGGAGACATAAAAAATGTTTTTACTGACCCACCTTTCATCATGTTACTGTTTCAAAAACTTATTTTTATGCTTTGGATGTATATATAACATACCATAAAACCTTATTACTTTTAAATAAATTTTAATAATTTTAATTAATTAATTCAAGTTTAATTTAGTGGAGATATATGGGTTTTTGCCCCAAAATTAAAATCCATGTTTTTTGTTTTTTTTTTATCTCAGAAATTCTTTCATCATATGTATTGAATAATCTCAAAAAACATTTGCAATGTGTAATTTACACCTATAATCAAAATCATCGGTTGGATCACAACCTTTTATAATGATTAAATTGAGTAACTATATGTTTTATGGAGATAACTGGTTTTTTGACACAAAATATAAGTAAAACTTTGGTTTATGCATTCATCAATGTAGCTTTGATATCCTTTACGACTAAAAAAATACTTAACAAAACTACTTTGGTAGGATATTTCATTTTAGAATATAATCATGAGCATATTAGTACCTATTAATGAACACATAATAAATAATTAGAAAATATATCTAAAAATGATAAAAATGTACACCTTGAGCATGTATAAAAACAAATAAAACATAAATATAATAATAATTCTTTTAACAGTTGAAACATAATATTAAGATCTTATAATGTGGTATTAGTTGACACCAAATATTTGTGTACATAAAATCATAAAAATTAATACATTAAAAGTAAAAATTATTTGATGAGTTATCATTTTTTTAACACGATTATAATAAAATAAAATAAAACATAAATATAATAAACATAACAAAAATCTTTTAAACAGTTTAAACTTAATATTAGGAACTAATAATCAGGTATTAGTTAATCACAAATTATTTGTATACATAGGAATATAAAAAATACTTAATTTTTACACATAATAAATTTGATTAGTTATCATTTTTTTTAACAAGATTATAATAAAATAAAATAAAACATAAATATAATAAACATAACAAAAATATTTTAAACAGTTTAAACTTAATATTAGGAACTAATAATCAGGTATTAGTTAATCACAAATTATTTGTATACATAGGAACATAAAAATACTTTTTCTTAGTCATCATTTGGTAAGTTTTCATTAATTTCTTTAACAAGATTATTATAAAACCACATATTATTAGCCGGGACATACTTTGTTGCAAGATCTTGAACATCATTGAATTTTGCTTCTTTAATTTGTATTACTCCATTATGAAGTTTTGTCAATCTTTCTTCTATCATCTTCAATGTAGCACCTTTTTTTTCAGGATGAAATTTTTCTTTTGCAGTTGAATTTGCAGCTACACTGCAAAATAAACCATCTTGTCTGTATTCTATACTTCTGTAGGACATAATACAAAACTTTTGTTTATCAATACTAGTTATTGTTTTTTTATACAATATTTTAGTATAATCTGAAAAATTAAATATCATATCTTGTGATACATCAATCACATGGAATTTGTGTGAGGTTTCTCGGATAATATCTTTATAAGTTTCTGGAATAAATATTCTTTCTACTTTTCTTTTATTTTTTTCAATTCTTCCAAAACATCTATCACATGGAAGAAAGCTGTGGCCAGGTTCTGGGTAGCGATGATGAATGCTCTCCAAACCAAAACATTTGGATTGAACTATTGTATAAAAAAATTGAACTAATCCTATATTTTTATTTTGAGAGCTGCAGTTATCGCTGAAAATATAGATTTTTTTTACATCTGGTGAAAGAATATTTTTTAAAAAATGGTAGAGGAAACTCATCACTTCATTTTGTCCCTTTTTTCCGCTTGATTCATCATACATGTAATGATATGATCGCCCAGTCTTTGCAGAATATATGCAAAAATTAAAAACCCATAACTGTCGTTTATAAAAGACATCTCCACATGGAATGTGGGGAAGAGGCATATTCTGCTGATAATCAAATGCTAAGACTTCAATATTTGTATTTGATTGTGCTTCTTTAGCATACATTTTTAAATCATTGTAAAACAGTTCCGATTTCTTTAAATGGATATCTTTTTCAACTTCGAACTCCTGTTTTTTTTCTACATCAGTTTCATCACTAATTAATACTTTAAGCTTGTCACAAGTTTGACAGGTGTCTGTTTTTGGTGTACCAAAGGATAAATTAAAATTGTTTCTAAAATAGTCATAAAAAAAATCTTGTTTAACGATAGGTTTTATCTTTTCACCTTTTTGCATTGATTCAAAATGTTCAGGTTCATACTCCTTCAAATAAAGTTTATATAATTTTGAAATATTTAGGTTTGGTGATAAATATCTAACATTCATGTTGTCGTTTCGACTATAATGTGACTCACATTTAGGGAAGCTATTAATATGAGTATTAATTTTAAACAAGACATCTTCAGTAATTCTATTTGGTCGGTTTTGATGCTTACCACGACAATCTATTGGACTTGGTATATTATTAGATTTTAAATTTTTTATGAGTCTATCAATAACACTTTTCCCAACACCAAACAATGCACAAAAAGCAGTTTTACAAACTTTTATTTCTTTAGAACTTATACGTATTTTATAACTAGATGAAAATTGTCTATTAATAATATTTATCCCTGTTTCTTTTGGTCTACGTCTTTGAATAGGTTTAATAGACATAAGACCACACAGGTACGTATCTTGCTTTTCTTTATTTTTTATTAAATTAAAAGTTTCAAGAACTAACAATTTTTCTTCATCTGATAATTTGGTGAAACATTTATCAATACATTTACACGGTGGCCCAGTGGTACGTTTAGGTACCTGTTTTTTATTATTTAAACTTAGATATGAATTACCTTCGGCTCTATTATTTTTTGAAATATTTCTTTTCCAAGTTGCATTATTTTTTTTTCTCTTCTTCCCTTTTCTTGTAGGCACACTTTCACTGTCAGAACTATCTGTAGCCTCAATAATTACTATTTCTGTAGCCACTGGGTCGTTTTCAGTAGCATGGTAGAGTTGATTTTCACATTCAACGTCAGAATCTAAACATAATATACCTTCCATATCATCATCTTGGTTATCAGATAAATTATTTTCCTGGTTAGGTATAATGAAGTCAGGATCTACGATATCGTCATCAAAATCAGAAAACTCATCGCAGTCCTCAAGAAATTCATTAATGTCTATATCATTCATGATTTTATATAACAAAATAAACAACTATAACAGAATCAATATTAAAATGTTGAATAATAATAAATAAAAACTTAGAAAACTATAAACAACATTTCGGTTCACGACTCACAATGACTGAACGACATGTCAATATAAAATATAACACAAATACATAACATTAACAAATATTTAAGAACATAGATTAATATTAATAAAGTCTATGATTTAAAATAAAAAACCGACACAATTGATAACTGATAAGCTATACCTAGTAACTGCAAAATAATATCAATGTCTTGCTGGTGGGTAAATGTGTAATGACAGTGTTGACAACTTTCGGAGCATAAACAAGGTATCTCCGGAGATATTCGGTTCTTGACCAGAAAATGCTTAAAGTACAGTGTTGACATCTTTCGGAACAAAAAGCATATATCTCCGGAGATACCTGGTTCTTGCCCAGAACATTTAAAACCAGATATCTCCTTTTGTATGATATTAGCGTACCTAATAGTCGGAGATATATCGTTATTGCACCGAAATGTAGACAAATTTTTCCACTATTAGAATATGTTAAAACATGCATTTCGAAAAAAAGTGGAGATACCTTGTTATTGCACCGGACCCTTCAAATCCATTTTGTTCTTTGTGGTTTTTTTTTAGTTGAACACATCGCACACCTTCTACTACTGCCTTCAGTTGGTTGATGTTTAGATTCAGTAAGTCTCAAATGTTTTGAGACATTTGGCTTATGGTTTCTGATTTCAATATTGGATTTAGTTCTTTTTTTCACTATGGATGGGGATTGCACATCAACTAATTTTATAGATAATAAGCCTGTGTAAACCTCTCTACGAAAATTTTTATTAGTTAATTGATTACCTTCTGTATCCAATTCTTTGTAAATAATAAATGAATTGACAACACAGCAATCAATAAAATGAAAAAACAGTCTCATGTACCACTTATGGCTTTTTCTATCACACTGGTAATCTTTTTTTAGACGGTCAAAGTTGTCAACAAAGTTCATATTTGAATTATAATCCTTCAATGCTAAAGGGCATGGAACCTAAGAAGTACTTCCATCTTTTTCTTTCCTGTTGACAAATACTTTGTCATCTGGTGAGTGAAGAGAAGATAATATATGAACTGCTTTTCGATCTTTTCATTTATAAAAAGCCAATCCCTTATTGCTTGTTGCCCAATCATATTCGCCTCTTTGCAACTGGTTGTCTCTTGTAAGTGTTGGAAAAAATTTTCGATTAGTTCTAACAGTTCCACACGCATATATTTTTTTAGTCAACAGATTTTCAAAAAGCATATTACTTGAAAAAAAGTTGTCCATATATACAACATGATTTTTATTTTCCAATTCCTTACATAAATCAAGTACTACCCTACCTCCAAGACCAGCTTCAACTGTCCCTTTTTTTTTACCTGTATTTACTTCAAATTTTAAATTGTACCCAGAACTATCACATAACATCCACCCCTTGTAACCCCTTTTTACTGGCTTATCTTTCATATACTGCTTCAGAGTGCTTCGACCCTTGAATTTTATCATAGATTCATCAACAGCAACATCCATGTGAGGTCTATATGAATTTAAAAAGTTTTGACCAATATAATCCAATAATGGCCGAATTTTATATAGTTTGTCATAGTTGGCTTCCCCCGTTTTGGTAGAAGTTGATTATCATTGAAATGGATGTGTGATAGAAGCCAACTAAATCTTTTTACACTCATTATACTTGATATATACTCATCGTGTAAATCTGGTGCACTAGACCAATAGTCCCGATAGCTTGGAAGACGTTTAACACTCATGCACATATTTAATCCAATAACAACTCTAATTTCACCATCATAAGTAGGTGTAAATGGTTTTCCTATCTGTGTAGCATACAGGTTAGTTTGGAAAACTATGTGATCAATCATTTTTTTATCAAATATTTGGCAAAATATATTATATGGTGATTTATCTTCAAGCTCTTCAAAAATTTCAGCTGGTCCACAGGGCAAATCATCAGAAAATAATTCAACTGAAGGCATTAATTCTGATTTTCCCCATAAAGGAGGTGTATATGGAGGTTCAAATGATGGTACTGCTTGATTCGGCTTACTAATTGTTCTAGATTTTCTAGAGGTTTGAGGGTTAGCCTAATTCAATATAAAATATTGTAAAATAATATAATACCATTATATAATATGTAAACATTCACATTTATAGTATACAACATGAACTTACTATGTAGTTAAAAAAAAATAATAATTTCTTAATTATGTTACACACATAATAGGTATATAACACAATACACATATTATATGGTCAACAAATAAAAAATATAAATTGGTAGGTACCTATAGTTAGTATTATATGGTATATTGTAATTGTAGAGGATTACACATATATTTATATATCACTAGCTGATCCTGTGCACTTCGTTGCCCATTAAAAATGCCAACTCTATATGAATAATATATGTTTTTTTTTATAATTTAACTGTTACCATAACAACAATTTTAAACCAATGGTAACCAATAATTATTATTATTATAGCTTTGAAACCCACGGCAACCATTTATAAACAAAAATTTCCAAATCTCAAAATCTTTGTTTGAGCACCTGATCCCGGGGTTGGTCCTCTCCCTTTTTAAATTAACATATCTTCTGCACAGATGTCTAATCTATCTATATATAAATATCTGATCCCGTGCACATCATTTCCCGTTAAAATTGCCAACTCTATATGAATAATATATTTTACATATCACCATTCACCATGGCAACCATTTATATACAAAACATTCCATCGGAAATTTCAAAATAATATATATATATATATATATATATATATGGTTGCCATGGTAATATGGACACACACACACACACACATTCATTTTTATATATAAAGATAATAGAAATAATATCATAATAGAAACATATAATAATATTGTAGATACTTAGCAAATATTTGTATTAAAAACACTAACTGGGGGTATAGGTAATTGATTATGATAATACTCCTCATCATTTGGAATCACTTGAACTAGCTGATACATGTAATATAGTGTTTCTTGGAGTATATGTTTTGTCATTATCACTATCATCTAGTTCAGAACCACCCGAGAAACTTTCACCATCACTAGGAATATCAAGCAGGAAACCTTCAATGTCATCATCATTTATAATATTCATCTACAAAATATGTTTACAAACTTATACTAATATATTAATATATTATACTACCTACCTACTAGTTACTATTACAATCAAAATTGTACGGTGGTCTCTATAGAAACCACATTTACATCAAACCAATTACGAACCTAATTAATGTTATTTACTTACCGTTATCGTGTAAATAGTTTTAATTAATACTATTTGTTGAGTATTTTACGAAATAATTAAAATTTGATTTTTTAATTTTGATTTTTAATCAATATCTCTTTACCATAACATTTAGTACGTATATCAAAATATTGATAATGATAATAAATGATGAAAAACGCGGGAAATGATATCAGACCAGCGGCAGTGATATTGTTTGATGCATGTATAAGATGATAATAAGGTTATAATCATGAACATTAGAGGAAGGACGCCGAACTGTGTATATAAAAGTGGTCCGGAATTATCGCATTCCGCCAGAATGCGCGTCGGACCGTAATGATGTCGTTTTTACATGACGTATAGCATAGGACATTTAATGGTTTTTTATTATTATAATCTAAATGGTGAAATTTATGAATAATTACTATGGAACATTTTTTTAAAACCAAATTGCCCTCGATCGAATATATGTGTTTCCAATAATATACGACTTTTATAAAAAAAGATATAGTTGTTGTCTCTTTTTATAAAAGTCGTATATTATTGGAAACACTTATATTCGATCGAGGGCAATTTGGTTTTAAAAAAATGTTCTATAGTAATTATTCATAAATTTCACCATTTAGACTATAATAATAAAAAACCATTAAATGTCCTATGCTATACATGTAAAAACGACATCATTACGGTCCGACGCGCATTCTGGCGGAATGCGATAATTCCGGACCATGTTTTTACGCTTCGTTCTGCTGTGTTCGGCGTCCTTCCTCTAATGTTCATGGTTATAATAATATGTGAATAATAAGTGATAATTGGTATGCTGACCACCATCAAAAAAATATTAAAAATAATTTTAAAAGTGGTTAAAATAGTAACCACCGCACCTGAACGGTAAAAAAAAAAAGTGGTTAGCATACTAACCACGGCCCCTCAAAGAGTTAACAATGATCCATCAGAATCTACAACACGACATAATACTACTAATGACACTGATTTTTCTAGATATTTGCAAAATATCAAATCACAATCTCATATATCTTACTTCAGTTACCATAGACCTATAATTTCAATGATTGAATTGTTCTTATGAAAAATAATAATTATAATATTGATATACTTCTAAAATATGCTAAACCAATAATTACGTAATTACGTTTCATTGTTATGTTCATAACCGTTTCTACCAAAGTACCTAACCTATGAGTAATATTGTAAGAAATCAAAAAAAATACAAATACAAAATTTATTAAAAACAATCTTTTAAAAACAAATAAATAAATATACATAATATATTGCAAATAAATTTATGAATATAGTTATTTATTTCATCAATAATCAAAATTAAAGAGAGCGGTGGGTAGAGAGAATGAGAGTCTGACGTTAATGATTAATTACGCCAAACCTGCATACGAAAGGGAATTCGTCCCATACGCGTGTCCCATGACACGTTTTTTTTTTTTTTTTTTAAATTAACATGATACCTATTTGATATGATAACATTATAATACCTATTAGTTCAATATAAAATGTTAGAATTTGAGTGTAATGTACAATTTAAAATATGCATGATAATCGTGTTCAATGTTAATGTAAATTAAATCAAATGTAAGTATTGATTATGATATTAATATATTATGTGTAAAAAATACTTACCTCGAAGAATGATATTGGTGAAAACTAAAAATCACTCATTTAAAATTTAAAATAATAATGAATGTCTATGTCTAACACCAATTCGTAGTTAAATTATACAACAGTATATAATTTTTTCAAAAGTATTAAAAATACGTACTATTGGCTACTTAAGAAGTAGGTAGTTGAATACTTTTACAGTTACCTCAAGTACTTTAAAGATTCCTTGTACTTGTAAAAACAAAATTGTAAAAAAGTGATTATTTCACTTGTGGGGGGCTGGGGTAACGTTACGCCAGCCCCCCCATTGTTTTTTATAAATAACTCGTAAAAAAATGTCGTGCAAATTCTAAAAATAGTCGTGCAAATGCATGCTAATGGCGTGCTAATTCGAGACTCAGTTTTTTTTGTAAAAAGTTCAATGAGGGGGGCCAGGGTAATGTACGTCAATATCCATTAGGTACACCAACAACACACCGTGATACTATCATAGATATATAGAAGTATACTTTAGAAGTTTCAAGTACCCACGAATAATATTATACAATCACAACAAAATAACTTAAATAGTTATTCTAGGTTTTTTATTATGTAATTTCGTCCAAATATGAATTTAAAATGTCTGCAAAAAATAACTGTGTTCATATATTTCTTAGATTTTTTGGTTACAGTATGAAATATTTATGAGAACCTTTGTTTTAAATTTGCAATCCTTAGCTATAAAAACTGAATATTTTATAATTTATTAAATACAATGATTGATAATTTTCGAGATTTTGATAAATTTTGTCAAAATTCGATCTTTAAATGCTTATAAAAAAAAAAATTGTGCCAATGTATTTTTTATATTTTTAATTGCTATTGTAACAATATATCAGGAGCCTTGTATTAAATTTTTACTCTTTTTGGCCCAACAGATAAAACTTTATTGATATTTATAGAAAAAAAAAAACTAAAAAAATTGAAAACTGAAAATGTCCGTAAACAGCTCAAAAAGAGTCAAAATATTTTCAAAATTGTACAGTTTATAGGAAATGCTAATATGAACATTCAGTGAAATTTTCATATATCTACAGTTATTCATTTTTGAATTACAACAAAATAAGAAAATCGCTACACGAGAAATCGAGTGAATATCCAATGTTGTAAAAATTTGAATTTCAAACGCTCATAAAAATTTAATTTGACTTTCCGGTAGAGATTTTTTTATTAATAAAGGCAGACAAACTTATGAGTAATCTTGTATTACGTTTTCAAATCTTAGATTTAAAAAGAAAAATGTTGACGAATTCTTAACTCAAAATAATTTGCTAATTTTCGTGATTTTTCCATATTTTGTCAATTTTTGAACTTTAAAGGCTTATAAAAAAAAAACTGTGACTAACGATTTTTAATATTTTTCATCTGCCTTTGAACAATATACTAGGAGACTTTTTTTAAATTGTCAAGCTTTCGAAAACAACAAATAAAATTGTATTGATATTATTAGAATAAAAACTAAAAAAAAATGGAAAATGAAAATGTCCCTAAACAGTTCAAAACAAATCATAATATTTTAAAAATTATATCGTGTATAGAAAATGCAAATATGAATAGGT